TCAACTGGATTTTAGGTGATTGAGCCAAGATCTGGATATAAGCACTGTCCTTGCGTTTCTCCTTGCTGACCCCTCGCAACTTGAATGCTTTGACGGCAAACTTGGCCCCAGTGGTCTTGCATCTGGCCAGCTTCACCTCACCATTGTAGCCAGACCCCAGGACTTGCGGAAGGCTTTCCTGGGACTTGGCAGGACCGATCACTCTGCAAAGGACCCCAACTAACACGATTCTGGAAAATTTGTTTCTTGACACATTCCCGAACAGTTTGGAAGTTTGAAACCCATCAGCAGGATCTTCAATGAACAAGCATTCAACCTGGTCTCATAATCATCTTCCATCCGCTTGGGTAGTCGGTGATAGCGCCCAGTGATGTTGAGCCGGCCACTCCGCTCCACTGCCCGCACGGTCACCTGAGTCAAGCCATCCGGCGCCTCATCTTCCTGCGGGCGGTTTCGGTGTGAGGTGAAGCTAGACCGCCACCCCATACCCAAAGAGTCCATGGGACTTGAATACATAATACATACTATAGTCATATACATGCATATATACATATACATAGGCATTATATATATATATATATCATATTACAGTATGTATTATGTATACATATAGTATTACATATATCATATCATATATTAAGTATACACAACTAGTGTTACAATATCATATTATATTATACATATATCCATATAGTATTGCAATAATCATATCTATTACACTCCCCAAATCCAACGTATCCCTGGCAGCACTGAGGACCCCAACTAACATATCCAACCGTCTTCGGTGTTTCCCGGGGAATTGCATACAACTTTTGCTCTGAGGAGGATTTGCATATTATATCCCTGCGGACTGTTGCTCATATATACTCCAAAAAACATCAACTTTAGGGGGGGAACGTTGGATTTGGAGAGAGTATATGTAGAAATTGTGCAAGTTTGTGTGTGACACTCCTTTTCAACCAATTTTTAGGGATATATAAGTTGCTAGTGTTTGGACATTTTTTCATGTGTTATCAACATGTTCATCTTCAAGCAAAACACGAAGGGCTCGTTTTGCATTGGGCATGTTGTGTGCCCAGAAGGTCCATAACTGGTCCAGTCCAAACACAATCGGCCGGCCGGATTGTGTTTGTATGATTTTGTATGTGTGCTGCTACAGCTATAGCAGGTTTCTGGAGTTCGAAAAGAACACCACCTCGAAAGAAGATGTTCTCCGCATCTTCCTTGTCGACACGGATCTTAGGAGGTTTCCGACTCTCAATATGCAAGGCCGACTTGATGTGCGTTTGCCCCATGGCACCAAGGCTTGCCAAGCAGCAAGCGTCTCCCTCCAGAGCGGGGGGGGGTTTTGGGAAGGAAAGACCGGGCGTTCTGAGTGTTCACATTGAAATGGGCCCAAGGATTTCAGTTCAAGGGCCTGCATGTGGAAGCAGTCTCATGTCGCCAATCTGAGTTTTGCTAAGTTCTCACGCACATGTCTAGCTGTTCGAGCCAACAGGTTGCGACAAATCCTGAGAATGGCAAACTGAAGGAAAGCTTTTGGACTGTCGGAATGTCCCGTCTCACTTTCTATTGTTCTATAGTGTTTCTCTACTTTATTATACTTTTTTGGTGTCTTATTTTTCTCTCACTGTGTCCCTCTCTCTCCGTCTCCCTCCCTCTCTGTCTCCCCCCAAATCTACTCAACATCATCACTTGTGCAGTCGGCAGGCACCTCATCGATTGTTCAACCCCAGAAAATAACAACTCAACACACGACAAAACAAGCATAGAAAGCTGCTTGTCGGCACATCAGCTGCCACCTTGGACTTGTAGTTTGTTGAGTGGCCATGTTCAAACCAAGGTTCTTGAGCGCAGGATGACCATTTTTCGGGTGAGTCCCACTCTCGGTTTGAAGAAGGAGCACGTCACGATGGCACCTTTTTATGACGTTCACCGTATGCTGCGACAACCGTGGTCCCAAACCGCCGCGCACCGAAGTGTGGTGTCCCGTTGTTCCAAAAAATAAAGAAAAACAACGAGTCGGATGAAACCGGATTGGTCGAACAAAACTACCAGGATATATCAATGGAGCACATGTGGTCACAGCATGTGTTCAACGGAACCCACGAACTGCGAACTGAACAAGAGGTGGTTGGATGTTTCTTTTTTTTTGTGGGGGGGGCGGTGGCACAAGTGTAAACGTGCTCAAACTCGTGGCTTAGCATCCAATGTGCTCCTATTATATTCACCTCTTGAAGAATTGATGAGGGCCTATAAATAAGGGTCTAAGTACCTCGGGTTGGGCCTTCGGAAGGTCAAGAGCAAGGCCACACTTCAGCAAACAAACTCAAAGAACACCGACCAGCCACGTGCGCTGGTCGGACGTGCGAAGCTTTGTAACATGGCTTCATGGCTGGTCTGTGGCTCAAGTCATGGACCTCCACGTGGTCTGTGTAATAGCGCTAGACAATATTAGGTGGAATTTTAATGCCTTACCAGGACCATGAGTCCACAAGTGAATGGATGTCAGACCTGGATTCTCATGTGAACAAATGGTCCGACTGGGCGTGCTGATGTTTGCTGAACTTACTAATCTATTCCAAAGCGAAATGTACCTATGGCTGATCCTCCAAAGGGACCTGCATCCATGTATGAACCCAATCCAGTCCGGGCTGGGAAGGATGCAAACCGGTATTTCTCAAGGATATATACATCAAAAGACCAACCAAACATAGCTTTGCAGCGCTCAGGTGCCATTCTTGCGCACTCGTGTGATTGGATCTTCATCTCCAGTCCTCCGGTAGAGCCACCAAAATCAGGTTCTGCCCTTCGGCAACCATCTGCTAGCAAGCACTGCTGCAATCCGCTCAACATCGAGGGAGGAACTCCGCATATTAATCAATAATGCATAATACACAGAACCGGAGTGACCTATTTTTTAGACCGACAGTCACGAGGCCCTTTCTTACCAAAACAGCGGTTAAATGCGTTTTAGGTACATGCGTTTGCATAGACAGATGCAACAATAATACATCTATATATGTGTGTGTGAATGTCTCTCCCTATCATCTTGGTGTGCGAAACAAAGGTATGACAATTTCTTATGCAAGTCTTGGGGTAGAGTAATGTCTTGTCTTGTACACCCTCAAACTAATGCTCCCACTTCTGGGATTTGCGAGGTCTCCCATTTCTCAACCTTGAATCGTGCATTTTCCCACCATGTCACACCAATGTCTCTGCTTCCATCAGTGGGTGGATGTGAAGACATGGGCACCCAGAAAGATCGACTGTTTTCAGACATGAGATTGGTACAGCAAGATTTGGACAAGTAGCAGCAAGGTAATCGAGGATAGTGTCACAAACATGTGAATGTGGATGAACCAAAATGAACTAGAAACCCCATGGCAAGTGACATCTGCTTTCTCTGAGGATAGCGTCACAAGCATTCCTTGGTTGCTTATCCACTTTTTCTCACTTTTTCTTGGTGCACTGAGCCAACAGGACTCATTACCGTCAGTCTTGCACCCAAACAAGTGGCTGGATGTAAAATGGGCACATGGATCTGCATCATGCTGCCTTCATGCCTCCCATGACGGTTGAAAAACTGCATGGCTGACTGCAGCAGCTGCAAAACTTCATGATACTTCATGACTACACTTCCTTGATCCGTGCACTTCTTCGATCAGTTCAGCCCCAACAAACCTCGAACGCACCCTTCACCAGTCGCGGTCTGCCGCAAGAGACGGACGGCAGACCACAGGTTGGGCCGGAAAGTCGGTGGATGCGAAAGCGAAGCACCGATGAAGACTGACCAAGAAATGAAGGTGATCAATGGCTTTTGTTGGTGTGTTGGATGTGGGAACATGTTCTCCGCATTGCTAGTCGACACCTCCTATCTGTGGCAGGATGTGCCATCCTGAATCGCCATCCTGACTCGAGGATCACAGTCCTTCAACGATGCGGTTTTTTCTCAAGTGATGTCATTCGTCAACCACCTCAGCATTCTCGCAATCCGGCTTATGACCTGCGCCTTCAAAATGATCTCCGAACGGACATCCCAAAGCTCCCCAAAACCTAATACAGTTACATCATTAAATTACTAGGTTGACATCAGTTACACCATTAAATTAATAACCATATATATATATATAGGTTAAACCAGTTACATCATGTTACATCATGAAATCTTAATAGGTTGACCACTCCCCATAAACTAGCACGGACCCTGAAAGTTGGTGGATCCAGGACCCTGCACTCCGGCGACAGCCGGTAGGGCCAGTGCTCAGTTTGAGGCACCATACAAGGCCGGCTGCACTGATCATAATCAAAGCAAATGTATACTGTATATCAAAAGAAACATCGAACCACTATAGCTTCCAACATAGGCATGGAAAACAAAGTCCTGCAAATTCCGAATCAGGTTTTTACTTTGGGCTGGGTGCTGCATTTCGAGTCCCTCACATTCTATTGCTGGACTCATGCCTCTGGCTAAGCGATCCCTTCTGACATCTTCATGACAACGGCTTTGCCGTCCGTGGTGAGAGACAGTTCTGCGTGTCGACAGATTGGCGGGGCTCAGCATCAGCTGCAAGTGACACTGAGTAGATGGAAGAATCGGGTGGTACATGGCACCCTGGAGATGCAACCATCTGCAATCCCGATGCTTCAAGCATATATCCCCCGTTGGGTTGGCATGAGCACAGGGGTCAGCTAGTCCAGCTCCCCTAGCTCCAAAGTCTCCAACAATAGCTTAACAGTAACATGGGCACCCTGGTGACGAACACAGGAACATACTAATCAATATGGCCTTCCATCAGGTTGACACAAACTGGAACTTAATGATTTGTTTTTATTATGATTTGTTGGGTCTATCCCATTACCTGTAACAGTGGATAATGATGGTTAGTAAAGGCCTTGTCCAAAAATAGTGATAATTGTTTGCTGACTGTTACAGGCAAGTGAGGACAAACCCCCAATGAGTTGTTCTTGGATCCATTTCAATCCACTCATAACTCAATCCATGTCAACTCTGCAAAACGCTCGCTCCTGGAACGGAGACTCCTCAGGTCAACTCCGAGTCCCGGCCATTCTGCGAAACTCAAACAGCACAAGCAGTGCCGACAGGTCGATCCTCCAAGAACTCGAGGACCGAGCTCATCCTGAACCGGTCACCGGAGTCCACCGGAGTCACATGTTTGGTTCTTGTGGTGTTCGATCTCCAAAAAGGTGAAAGAGTGGAAGTCTGTCAAACTTGGCGACTTGGCGGGCAAATGGGCGTTGGTATGTTCGTGTTTTGTGACACCTGGACCAGCTGCTTCTCAAAATCTCCAAGGTCAAGACAATTTCGGGATTGAATGAGTGAATTCTCCCCCGGCTCCGGATCTGACGGAGACCATCGGAGACATTCCGAGACCCATATTTTGGGAAGGTTTTTGGCAGGCGGACTTCGGCCGAGAGGGCTCCTTCCGATGGTTCCCAAATGCTTTGTAATGGTATCATATAAAAAATGGCTTGAAACACTGTTGAACAAAATGGTTGCATCAGTGCATGCCTTGCATGGCTCAGATTTATGAAGAAATGGCACTCCAAGAAGCGCACCAAGCACACACACACAAAATATAATATATATATATAGACCCGTTTAGAGCACCGAAACACGGACTGCCGTTCATCCGAACGTTGGTCTGCAAGAAACGAAGCAAACCTGGAGGAACATGTTCGACCTGCTCATCTTCTCCGCCGTCATCCATCGACCCCGTCGATCCCGGCCACCCTCTGTTGAGAACATGCTACGCCCCGTTCTGTAGCACAGTGAATGGAGACTAGATGGCACAAGTTACCCCAAACAGGTTATTTATATGGACCCTCATCTAAAAATACATTTGGTGGGTTGTGCCATCTACTCTGAAACCACTGTGATTGCCAAAGTCACATGTATCTAGGTGAGACAAGTGCCCTGTTGAATTAAAGGGTGGAGCAAACATCACCAGTTTGTAGAGGAACATGGTCATCCAAGGAACCATTTCCAAGATCATTTCAGGGAGCCGAAAGTTCAATGGGCGTCCAAAGTTCAAGGCCAACTTTCGACTGGTCCCGCCTAGACGGACATCATGTGATCATATGTGATCAAAAAAAAGGAAAGTTCATAAATCTGAAAAAAGTGGTACGGTATGGGTGGTGTAAGGTCTGCAAAATCAATTATTAGTTTGGTTCTGCGGCGACCATTTAAACACTCTCCAGAGTTCAGTGTCGCCGCCCAAAAGGTTTCCGAAACACTGACCGCTGGGTTCGAGCAGCTGCTTCTTGATGGAGGAAATGGAATTGGCCAAATGTTTGATGACCTGCGAACTCACAGCAGCACAACAACAACTGCACAATAAAGCGCAAATCCACCACAACCCCATTTGTTTGGGCTTTGCTTCCGGATTTGCATCTGTTTCCCACATGGTTGGTGCTGGCTCACAGCTCCACTGTCCCGCATGGTTTTTTCGACCTTCGGGCTAATCATCACAGGGCCTGAAATGATCATGGAAGTGAATGGCAACACCTGTTTGTATAGAGACATTATCATCCAAGGGGCCATGCCACCCACTTCCATGAATATTTCAGGGAGTGCAATCAAAAAATTATAATGACAAAAGCCTCCAACACTTGGCCGGTACCGGTTTTTTCTAACTCCGATATTTTAATTTATTTGTCCTTGGATCGTCGCTATAAACCTCCTTTTATTACCCCCTGCCGGGGTACCCGAGAAAAACATTCCATGTCGCCCAAACACCTTGCTGGTATGTGGATGTCATGTCGTTTGCCCAGGAAGCGACGTGACATGTCGGCAAACTGCATCACAGTTGTTTGCTTCCAGGCCCTTGCCATCAACTGGTGATGGGACCTACTCAGCATATCAGGATCAGTCCCAATATGGTTTGCGAATGTTTGCGATTTGCAGGGGCAAAGACCGAGTCTGACCAATGGTATGCGTCCTGCAACTTTTCAGGGACCTTCCAATACCCCGGCGCCTGGCGAGTCACTCGGTTCTCGTGGCTCATCTGTGCAAGCTGCAAGCTTTTGGCTGGACCATGCAGCTGCATGCAGCCCGAGACAAACTCTTCAAGGTCAATCATACCACCTGATCAAAAAAAACTTTGCCGGTGACAAGTTCAGTCTCTAATGTCGAACTGGCACAACTGACGGTGCTGTCACGTTGGGCCCGTAAAAAGAGATCTGCCGTCTCAACCGATTTGTGCCTTTCGGGTGAATTTCTTATATTGCTGTTGACTTGTGTAGGTCCGTCTGAACCGCCCAGACTGACAAGGGAAGGGCCGGGCGTTCAAAGAGAAATTACTTTACTTTGAGTGATCCCCACCCTGAAAGGTGACTTGGAAGAAGGCAGGGGCGCATGCATTGACAAACTAAGCCGGCAAAGGCGGACATGCGGATTGACACAATGTTCTGCCGCTTGTTCTGGCATCAAGTCTGGTGTGTGCTCTGGCACATCATCTATCACAACGATTGGGAAATGTTCTGGACAGTGTTCTGACGTCCTTGTTGGGGTGTGTGCTGACATTTTTCCTCCACTTGCTGTGGGGGGCCCTGGAGTGCCCACTGCCACCTGGAGCTTGCTGTTGAGGCCAGTGCCCACTGGGATCTAGCGCTTGCTGTTGATGCCGGCAGTGTCCACTGCACACTGCGATCTGACGCTTGCTGTTGAGGCCTGGGAGTGCCCGCTGTGGCTGTTGAGCTCCGGGAGTGCCCACTGCGATCTAGCTGGCAGTTGGGGCGAGGAGGAGAAGGAGGCCTGACAGGTGGGGAAAAGGGATCAAAACAATGTCCAACGGAAAGAAGAAAAAGAAGCGAGCAAAAGAACAACAAAGAGCGGCAGTGCGACAAAAGATCAGGCAAGCCCTCCGCAAAGCAAACCAAAACACAAAATTAGGAAAGGTGGGCCCTTTCGCTCACCGGAGGAGAATAAAAAAGATGTTTGCAACAAATTCACCAAAGAGACATATACTTCGACGAGGGCATGCAATACTTATTTGGTGTGGAGATGCGATGGGTGACCTTCAAATAACTATTTCCATGGCAGGCGTAGTGCAGATTTCGTGACGCTGGAGGCGGGGTGGGGGGGCGCAGCGCCTCCCCCAGAGCGAAGCAAACATCTAAAGAAGGCACTGAAGGCACCACAAAATAGACCAACATCGAAAACTACACACCCCATTGCGCCATCCATGAAAGGCATCCAAGAGGTTTCGTGGTAAACACAGTGCATTGGAAAAAGTGCTGCAGATGTTATGCGCTTGGACGGGGGTTGGGGGAAGGGCAGCGCCTCCCCCCTCACAGCGGATAAAATGTCATAAGCCACCAAGAACTTAGAAGGTACATTATCATTGCTCCACTGCCACATGAATGAGTCGGGCACCGGACCAAAGAAGACACAAGGACCAAGGCAACCGGGAAGAGCGGCCGGCACCCTCTTCCATGGCAAGACAAGCTATGGAACCCTTTTTGGCAGAGTTCGTGCCACATTCGCAGATATTTTTTGACCAATGGACCATGAGGCCAGTGGACCAGGAAAAGGACCAGGGGACCAATGGACAAGTGGACTAGACTAGGGGACCTACTGGATCTTGTCACTTGTTGGTCCTGTTGTTACTATTATTTGTTGAATCTTGTTCTTATCTGTTGATACTGTTTTTTGGTTGCTAGTTTTGTGCTGATCTAAAAGCCAGAAGTATCAAGAATCCAAACATTCATTCAATCAAATCATGCAAACTAAAAGCCACCACATACATTTCTGCGACGTAACATAGATCGTGGAGAAACAAAGCAGGCCCAAAATTCATGGAAGAACTTCATTATATATATATATATATTATACACGCACAGCTCTACAGCAGCACACTGTTTCCTGAACATGCTCTCGAGGTGGATGATGCACCGCACCAAAAAGCTATCAAATACAGCCACCCCTACAAGACTTTGATTGAACAAACCACCGGACTGAAGACAAACAACGTACAGTTTCCCCGTGTTTCTGTGCATTTCATAACCACAGTGGCTGTTAGCTCACGCCCTAAGCAAAGAGTTGGCATTATCCACACGGCTTTGCAATCGGGGTTTGAGACAACATCATCCAAGTCTGTCAGTGACAGTGAAGAACCCATGTATATATATATATATCATGTAGTTGATTCTTTTTGACACCTCCAGTCTTGCTTTCAGTCCAGGGCGCTCTTGTCCGTATCGATAATCATGAAAAGGGTGCTGACATCCTGGGTGGAAATGCCTCAATTCCAGTCTCAAACAGGCGGATTGTATGAGGCATCCGGGCAACATGTGTAGTGCAAGCATCGGTGCCACGGGCAACGATTATATATATAATGAATAGATGTATTAATTCATTCATATTAATGCATTCATTCAGTGAGTCAGTCATTCAAATCCACATATCATAGAGGATGCCGACCGCGGAGCCAAATACGACTCCTGCGACTCCTCTACACCTTGGCCCTGGCAAGCTATATCTCTATATGTATATCCTGAATCTTGAGATATCTTGAGCATATCCCATGACCCACAACTCACAGTGGATGATGATGATTAGTAAAGGCCTTACTCAAAAGATCGTGAACATCTTTTCCCGACTGCTTCTGGCCATTGGGCTTTTCCCGACTGCGGCGACGCCAGAACCCCCCAGTCTCGGAGACGCAAGCCGTCCGCGCCGTCTGACTGACTCTGCAGAGCTGAGCGACCCATGGACTCCATGAAGCTCGACAACTTCTTGGCTGACAAAGCTTCCTTCAGCTCTGCCAGAGTCACATGCATCGATTTGTCGTGATCAATCTCTTTGAAGATATGCCGCAAGGCCTGCCGCACCGAAGTCCAACCGACGAGATCTCGCCAGGAGGTGCCAGATCACGTGCCTACAGAGGGTGCTTTTCGTGGTTTTCTGAGGGAAAAGTGCTCCCGTGCGGGAGAACGAGCGCCAGCATGGATTTTCCGGAGAAAGGGCGTTGCAAATTATATATAATCAATCCCTAGAGCGGCCGTTCATTTCAAGCTTGGCTTTCAAGTAGGACATAGCTGAAAGCATTGCATGCTTGCAGTCACACTCAAAAGCCCCAACATCCGAGACATTCTGGCAAACCTCAACATCTTTCGACGTTTGCGATCGACACGACCAAGCCCCAGAGACCCACCGTTGGGGTCGTTTGGTCCAAATCCATGCACCGCTTTCAATCGCGGTGGCGCCTGAACCTGAGCATCATGCTTGCGCATTTGCTTCATAATGGCGATGTCCTTGTCGGACTGGGCGCTTTCAATCGCGGTGTTGCCTGGCCGCCAAGCGGTGTTGTACATGCAAGTTGTGGTCACATGTGTTCACGGATGAACAGCATGACTTGAAGTGTGGACTTTAAAATTCCTATGACCGTCACTCGGATCAACAGCTTCCAAAGATTGCACTTGCAAGAGAACTCATCAGCAAAATCAACTACATATCCCTATCAAATCAACTTCCCTAGTCAAAGGCTGCAGTAACCATCCAAACTGACAACACCCACATCCACTCGGTTGGTTGCTGGAACGGTAAGCTAGCAGCTAGCATTGTCCGGCACGTCTGAACCCACCAAATCGTCAAAAAAAATGAAAGCGTTCTGAGCAAATGCCAAGGTTCAGAAAACTCCTGTGACCACCTGAGCTGGTGTGTTTTGTTCAAATGGGCCAACAAAAGACCTGCTCGGGATGAATGCTTTTGTTGTATGTTTTGCTCACACTCTGCCAGAGGTTGGCCATGGTTGGCCGTGTCACAACGCTATAACTATGTTGTTTCCATACCTCTCCTCAAATGTAGCCTGCTACTCAAGAAACAAACTTCCCTTGATTGCTGGAGTGCCCTAAGCCATAAATCAGGCTTAGGGCGAATCCACCGAACAGCTCGGCTATATAAGTGTTCTTATGTGTTCTTGAAAATGACTGTTTCCCATCGGCGAATCTCTTTTTTCCCTCGTGCTCATCCATCGACTCGTGGGAAACAAAGGTGAGACCTCTGAAGAAAGCACGTGGGTGTTCTCCGCCCAACAAGCAAACCAGAAACGAGCAAAACAAAGAGAGAGAGAGAGAGAGAGAGAAAGTCACAAGAAAACCCCTGGGTGGCCGGTGGCCGTTGCCCCATCTGTTGCATTCTAGGCTCTGTCGGACCAAACACTCCGTGATCTGGCGGACCAGAACTGGGATGCTCCGACAGAATTCACCTACGATCAATACCATTTCACGTTGCCAAACGTTGAGGCCTGTCTAAGGCATGCTGCAAAGCAGTAGGCAAATCATTACGCTTATAAGCTATACATGACTATTTCCATCTTTTTGTATATCAAACAACTTGGATGTGCCCTTCATCCAAATGGATGAGACAAACCAAGCAGTCATACGCTTTGGTCGATGTATATATATATATAGATCTCCAAATAGATAATGGCACGGATTCCAAAACATTTGGAACGGGATTTTACTTGTTCTATACTTGTTCTAATATGTTCTATATGTCTATATAATATATTGTGATTCTATTTCGGGGGTGAAAAAAACGTCCCAAAATCGGAGGCGTCCCTCCGAACCGTGAGGTTCTTATCATCCAGATCGTCACCGGACTCAAAAGGCCAAGCATCATTTAACACCGCGAAGACGGTCACGATGATATACCTGGTCTCAAGAGACGTTGGTCATGTTTAAGCAATGCCCATTCCTTGGGTCTATCCGTTACCTGTGACAGTGGATGATGATTTTATTGGTAAAGGCCGGCAGTTCAAACATAGCAATTCTTGTTTACTGACTGTTACAGGTAATAGGACAAACCCAATCCATTGATGTTCTCGTCGTTGGCTCTTCACATGACCAGGAATCAACACAAGCCAAATAGCAACTCGGGCCATTGCTCTTGTTGTCCTTCTTGCAACGGATCAACTATGATCAATCATGATACATTCAAGTGATCTGATCAAGAATGAAACACCAGCAGCATCTGTTTGTATAAAGCTTAAGCTAGGGCTGCCCCGGTCAGGTAGTGGCAATCAAACTCTGATATGCCCAAGGTGACTTGGTACCTACAGTCAAACCAGGTAGATGGTACAATCAAATCGCTATGTCACCCTGTGAAGATATGGTAGTCCATGTAGCGGGGTATGACCGAGTTCATAATTCACCACAAGCAATGGGAAAATGACAATGACCAAAAGAAACAACCTTGGTTTGTACCATGCTGATGGCGAATGCCAGGCTCAGCTGTGGCAATGTCAACCTTAGTGCTTTTTGTCTCACGGATGCGTGTGCGAGGTTCAAGTAATGCACAAACCTGTTACAGATCTGCAAATGATGGTCCATGTACACCAACTACGCGAACACTCATCCAAAAAGGATCTTGACCAATTGGGACAAAATCTCCGTAATGCAAAAGTCCTGAAGCAAAGACTTACAACCTGATCAGTGGCAAACAAGAACTTTTAAACATATACCACCCATTACCGTCCCCTTTGTTCATCCTCCCAACTTGGAGGGTCAGCTGACAGCTGCTGGCATCAAAAATGACTCGCTTGGAGATTAGAAATGTGGAAGGACTGGAATTTCCCTTGCTCTCCAGGTTTCAGCTATCATGCAAAAGAGCGAATGCAGAAAAGAAAGTCAAATGTGCAAAGCTTGCTCAGCCAATCGCGCTCGCCCAACTCAGCTGCTTGGCTTAGGCCAATACATGGTTCAATAAGCATAGCAACCAAACCATCTTCATTCAACCTTCTACAACTCGACGTTCTTCGGACAAAGCTCCTTATACTGTCACTGTCACATACTGTCTGAGCCTTTGCTATTGGATGGTGCCCGACCATGGGCTTCAGAGGCAATTTAAAATGACACCGGCTCGGCACGGTCGGCTTGCACGCCCAGATGCAGCACCAAAAGGACAACCGCCAAAGGTGAAAAACGAAGTGGTCGAAAGGCATCATCCCAACCTCATCAGTGTAGCAAAGCCAGAAAACACACACTAATCTGAGTGATGTGCAAATTCAGCACGAAGTTCAAGTTGAATTGCAAAGCTGCGATGGTAAAGGCCATTCAGGACTTTGGAGATGAACAATCCTAGAACCACTTCAGCAAGTAAAGATTGATTGCTGGGAAGGGCAGGACTTTGGCGATCGTGAGACGACAACTCCGAACAGTAGATGTCACAAACCACAATGAAGCATCAGGAAACCTAGCTAGTTGATCCCCAGTGAGTGATTCCGCGGACACTTTTCCTTCACTGAGTCGCTCAAACCACCAGTGATGGCCAAGAAAAGCGTGCAAACGCTCTCCTGGAGAAAAGGCGTTCTCGCAAGCGAGGGCCAGAAAAGATAGAAAAGGGGTGGGGACTATGAGGACAAATGCCAACAAAAATGTCGTCCTGCTGGGGACCGCGGTCGACGGTCTCTCGTACCCCGGTCTGATTTAATTGATTGAGACAGGTGAAAAAATAGAAAAAATAGGAAAACACATTGACATTCTTTCCTTCCCTGGTATGAGGGCTAAGTACGTAGTACTGATAAACTGCCCTCAAACGGCTTAAGAGGTTTAAGAGCTTCGGCATCCCTTGGTAGGGGCGGCGGTTGCTGCAAGCCAACACCTGCAGGAAGCTAATCCCGAGCACCCATGAATCAACAGTACCCAATTGAAAACTAGTTGACGTTGAACTCTTTAAGTTACACCCTGTCCTCATTTTGAGGAGGTTTTCTCAGGATTTCTCAGGTACCCACTCACTAGAATCACCCAGTCATGCTCACCAGTGACGTGCCACAAAAAAAATACACACATGTGTCTCGTTCCCCAATGGCACGGAGCCACACGAATGCACGTTCTACCAAGGCCTTGGCACTCCGCATGGTACGGCGACATCAACTTTTGAAATCTTTTGGCTGTTTGGGTGCTATTGAATGTCGGAGAATCCAAATTTCAGTTCAGATTTACAAGCAGCAAAAGGGGAAACAAAAACGTTAGAACAGCATTCGAATTGAACGTTTGTACAGTTTTTGGATACGGATTTTTCAAAAGGATGTTATGATTATGCAAACTTGTCCCACACAATTTTTCAACCTTTTGGGGCTATCCCATATAGAGGGTGATGGAAATGCGCTGGAAGTCGTGATACCTTGGGGTATGTGCTAGCATGTCGGAATACCTTTCGACACGAGCTCGGCAAAAGGGATGCGGTGGCTATGCCCGGCGAGCGGATGGCAGAATTTCTTGCTGGAGCAAATGCTCGGAGGATACATGAGGATAAGCTGGCGCACTGCATATGAGCTGGATGCGGAAGTGTCATGTAATATCCTGCTGTGGGGAGGTCGCAGGAGAGGGAATGTCATGCCCACGATTGACGGGCGGAGCGCGGAATACCGTGCAAAAGAAGGCGCTGGGAGAATGATGTTCATGGTTGCATGTTGTTAGTGCCTTGCGGCATGGGCACGTGGAAGGCCGAGGTGGTCTAAATGATTCGGGTATGCTGCGGTGATTTCACAATGTCCGATTGCGGGGAACGGAGGACCAGGTGTTCTGCGGTTTGAGAACTGGAAGGCCTTCCACATGGTCAATTGATTGTTAATTATTTGACTGAGTGGAAGGCCCCCCCACGTGGCCCACATTCAGATTGTTTCGCCATTGATCACCGCTCACACCATTGGCAGTGAGAGATAGCACACTGAAAGGTTGTTGTAATGCATGTTGATTCCAACGTTTCCACTCTCTCACTCTCTTTCTGCTTCATGATTCAACTTGGACTCACCACATATTAGAGTCCTCCGGCTTGGTTACCCTCCCGTCCCGGGCCATCAGTCAGCATGCCCTTTTGGTCCCATCAGTCAGCAACCTGACACCTTTGTTTCTCGATTTGCACGTCGGGCGGGTTGCTCCGTCGTGTGTGTGTGTTTGTTTCTTTTGTTTAAATGTCTTAAAGTCGTACGTGTGATGTTAAAGATTGTATGTTTGTATCCCTTTTGGGACATTCTGGTTGCTTGCTGCTTTCCTGGACGTAGGGACCCACAGCGCGGAATCGGCTGCCGCTTCGGGCTGAGCTTGTTTGGCATAAGGGCAGGGGGGCGCGTGTCCTGGATGTAGGTGGAAGGGATTATTGAAAAAGTGGATGTCGAGTAGCTGGCAAATTTTCACCAAAACGTGGTTCGATATGGATCCCCCATCCTTCAACCAACAAAAAAACACACACACACTTCGATAGATGGTTCATTCAACCGATAATCCAATTGGTAGTGAATACGTAGCACTTGACTTGGTGGAACCGCAAGGTGAAAAGTCAGCAACAAGTATATAATGTTTAACCAAAAGTCGGACGGCTGCTTTAAAACAGGTCATGAACCGGCCAAGTTTCCCTTCCCACTCTTATCCACAGCTTCTTTGCGTGTGATAGGATAAGAGTGTCACACGCCCCTGCTCCGACGACAAGTGGGGCCCTTAGACAGGCTGTGACACACACACACACACAGCGCCCCAATGCGGCGCACGCTTGCACTAAGAAGGTAACAACGCGGTAGACAGCTTGGAAGTTATTTAGGTTCTACACCTATATAGTGAATACTTAGCCCGACTTAACTACTTAGCCCCTGAATGCTTAGCACTTGACTAAAAAGTCTGGTTACATACCTAGAAAGCCTCTGAAAAGAAAGGCAGACCTAGAAAGAGAAACGAAAATGCAGGAGAGAAAGAAATGAAGCAGAGGGGCAAGGAAACGAGCCTGAAAAGCAACCTAACAAGCCTGAAGAACAACCTAACAAACGAAGAAAGCCACAAGAGAGAAAGGGGGGGGGGGGGGGTGCGGTTCAGTCTCCGTATGCCCAGCGGCTTGTTGATCCGTGCAAGTCCGTTATGCAGCTTGGAAGCTTCTCAAGCACAAACGAATATGCAGGCTGTGATAACCCCGAATGGTCTCAGTGCCCCTTGCGGGGATCACACTACGCACCCAAGTGGGAAAAAGCGTAGCAGTACACACTTCGATAGATATGGTTCATTCAAACGATAGTCTAAGTGGTAGTGAATACGTATCACTTGACTCGGTGGAGCCGTAAGGTGAAAAGTCAGCAACAAGTATTGTTTAACCAACAGTCTCTTTCAGTGTGAATACGTAGCACTTGACTCGGTGGAACCGCAAGGCGAAAAGTCAGCAACACGTATATATTGTTTAACCAAAAGTCGGACTGCTGCTTTAAAGCAGTTCCCGTAGCTCCCAGCTATGACCCCAACTTAATGGGTAAGTCATCCAAGGACGCTACATGCAGGTACAGGAAACCGGCCAAGTTTCCCTTCCCACTCTTATCCACAGCTTCATTGCGTGTGATAGGATAAGAGTGTCACCCGCCCCTGCTCCGACGACAACTTTGGCACAGGGTGTGACACACACACACACACGCTTATAATTCGACATCGCATTGGTTCTTGGCCCTATGGTCCCCAATGATGGCTCAAACACAAAGGCACCTTCGCACCGCCGAATCGGCGGCGCTTGGAGGAGCGGATCTCTACACGACCACGAGAAGTTCGGCTTCCGGTGGTGCACGAGAAACAGCCCGGTCCGGAACATCATTCCAATATCTGTGGAGAAGCTCGTCGATGTCTTTGCAGTTGGGTAGCGCGTTGTCGTCCTCCGTGATCCGGATGGCTTCAAACCTGGCAGGAGCACGGGACCAAGACCGGATGAAGAAAACTGCTTGCCCAAGCAAGAGGTACAGGCCTGCAAGAGGTGTCTTGTAGCGACAAATCCCAATTGCGATCCCGGGGACAATGAGAGGAAAGGACAAGGAAAGGGATGGAAAAAACAGATCAACAAGTCAAATAGCATTAAGCCAAAGGATGGGAGGAAGGCTCAGTTTATAGGGAGGATTTCAATTGAAGTTACCTATATATTCAAAAAGGGCATGTTGGCCATAATGGATTGTAATTGGATGTGATTGGCGTTGCCCTCCTTGCCCAAAAAAACGTTGTGGAAAATGGCATGCATACTTATGCATGGTTTAGTGAGGAGCAATTAGTCTTGTGCGCTTCTTCCCTCGCTTAGGCTGGAGCTATGATAAGTTAGATTGTTCACTTATCCATTCTCATGCAATCTGGAGCATTCTGAAATTGATGGGCAGTACAGGGTACACCCGTTACATCTGAACCAACTCAGATTCGGCTTCCCAGCACCCAGGGCTCTCCTGACTCAAAAGATAGGGTCGCATTTGGAACCTCTACTCCAACTCCTGCACTGACCTGCACCCTCCAAAAGCATTCAACCTTCAACCTCTAACTCCAACAGAGTCATCTTCCTGGGCTTCCCATGACGGAGGTCTGTAGGTTAGGTTAACAGGACAACAGGTCGCCGCTACGACATGGACCACTGCGGGAGTGTCACCGAACTTTTTTTCGAGGCCGAAACCTGTCCGGCCACCCAGCCTGCAATGGTCACTGACCTTGGTTGAGTCAAACCACCGGCCGCATCAAGCCTGCTCTCTGGATGTATTGGACTAAAAATTGGTTCTACAACGTGGATTCCACTCCGGACATTTCTGACGTCCAATCAACTTGGCCACATGTACCTTGTGACTCGTGACATCTTGTGGACCTTGTCTTTCTGTTCAACACGTGCTTGACAGTGGAGACAGCCTGAACCATGACACGCCCCTGCGGCTGCGCGGGTCCACGCGCGCAGGGCCGAAGTGGCTATTTGTGTGAGAATCACGCCGAAGCTGTAAAAGAGGAGAGAGAGCAACACCAAGGTCCACATCAATGAGCCTGCCGTTCTCGGATCTCGGATCCACCGGCTGTCCAACTCTGTGAGACTCACAGTGCTTGCCGTGTTTCCGCCCGGAAGGTGGTCCGACACCGATCGATGAAGGTGGTCCGACACCGATCTGCATCGTGATGCCATGACACCACCCCGCGATGGGTTGGAAGCTCGACCTGTTGGTAGAAGCCGAACCAGGTCGAACCGGGTCAGGCGAACTTGCATTCTGTGACCCGAACAGGATTTGGCAATCTGCTGTACCACAACGGTGGGATGAATATGGATGAATATAAACAATCGCTGTGCATTAGCACCAGCCTTGATAAGCCAAATCAAATGGACAAGTCTGGAATTGATATCGCTTCTGGATAGATTCAGGTTAACACTATCAGTCACTATAATAAAGTTCTGAACGAGAAGCACTCGAGCGGCACTGACAATATATAGAAACCACCGCCGGCTGGGCCGGTTCTGGGCAAACAGAACCTCACAAGCTTGCAGCATGCGAAGCCTGTGGTGCTGACGATGGAGAACACCAGGGTTCGCAAGGCACTGACATACCTCAGTCGTGTACTGTGCACTGCACCTGCTCTGAAAAGCTCAGCACCTACTCCTCCCCCTGTGGCGATGTGTCTTTCGACTGGCTCATAAGTTTACAATGTTATATAAGAAGAAAACAATTTTGGACCCCCCAAGACTGTGCCACTGTAAGGTTCAAGACCTGCACTGACTCATGCTCAACTACAGGTGTTGCTAGTATGTTCAAAAGCACAGAGTCGTGGAAAGTGAGTGTTACACTGCATCCAACAAACGTAGTGAACAAACAAACCCACTTGTTCCGCGGCTCCATGCCACGAAGCATGAGAAGGGTTGTCAATTATAATCCATCATTTCCACATGACATGCCCATCTCCTCACTGCAATCAACCTCCTTGGACTTACACAAGCTTTCATCACCATGTTTGGCTAGGCTTGTGTCCTGAAAGATGCCCGCGAGACAGGGCCCTCCAAGTGCGTTTTTTCAAAGTAGGCCCAAGCTTGCCAAGTGGTTCTACACCATGCTCAGGAAGACAACTAATATTAATGATCTGTATCACTGATATGTTATACATATATCACTTATATACCTGTTATCACCTGTTATACATATTATAGCTCATATACCCATCACTGAGAACTGTAGGAGTCCAACTCCCCCAGCTGGTCTTCATCTGAATGGCCGTAGCAGTCGTATGACCCTGATCCCGCGCAGAGCGCGAATCAATCGCATCGTCCGCCTAGGAGGCTGCGAAGAAGAGCGGTTCAATGATGTTCAGGAAGGGCAGTGATGAGTCATGAGTATTTCAACTCCTTATCATACTCCCCACATCCCTCCACTAAACTGCCGGGGAAGGGATAATTCTAAGGTGCACTGCCTCGTTGCACCACAAAACTCTCAAAGAAATGTCAAACAGAGATGTGATTTTAGTGATAACATTTGTGGCTTTTGGAGAGCTAAACGTGATTTCTCTGGGGTGCCCATTCCAACAGGTCCATTTTAGGTATGCCGTCTGCAAATTACTTGCTGACTTTACTTCGCGAGATGCCGCGTGGTTAATTCACCGCTCGTGTCTTTCCGTTTTGTTAGTCAACAACACGACTACCCCGCTCTTACCACACCCGCCCAGAGGGCAACGGACGCGTAAGAAGCGCCGAACATGCTGCGCAATACCGATACCCCAAGCCATGGTAGGTTGACATCCCTGGTGGCGCCCTGGTGGCGAGTTCTGAGTTCAAGCTCTTTTTGTTTTGGGAGTCACCAGTTTCAGTTTGAGTGATCAAAAAAACCTGATCAGTTCAATGCTGCAGGGCCTCCCGCGTGACCTTTCCGACCCTGTTGCATGCTTGAGCCCCATACTGCTCCCCATAATAGTTCATAATTGAATCGAGGCCAATCACTATCCACCTTCCCCAGGCTTGGGTGATCTTGTGTCCTTTGGTTGTGCTTTTGATTCCTCTTTTGCTTTTGCTTACTTATGTCTTTCTCCAACGTCTCCACATCCCGGCAACCTGTTCAAAAGGGTCGTTGGGACTCTGGGATTTGTGGTATTGTTGGGGAGTCAAGCGGGTTCCTCCTGGCTATTCAGGTATTGACCCCTACTCCCGAAACTGGTGAGGCCACCCTTTTTGCATCTAGTGGCGGAGCTGGTCTTTCAAGAAATCATTTTTGCACTACGTTACTACAGTGGTTCAAGAATCGGTGGAACAAACCCCACGATGACCTTTAGATGGGAGTTCCATCTAAAATCGGGATTGTGCCTTGCCATCTGCTCACTCTGAAACCACCGGATATATAGTAGGCATTTGTACCTTTAAACCTGAAGGCAAGGACCACGAAGTCTAGGGCCCGCACATGATGCGCAGGTGTGCTGAACTGGTTCCGTGGGTGGCACTCAAGGACAGGTCCTGTGGACGCGAAACACGGGTTCGGCAAGCATGGGGAATATGGGGAAACAACCCATACAGTGTGGGAAATATATATATATTAGTATAGAACATGGATATGGGAATATGGGATATAGGATGATATAGGATAATATAGGGTAATATGGTTTCAATCGTCGTGCTTTGAAGCGCACACTTCCTCAACGCAACTTCAGTCTCATTTTGGCTCTAATAACAGCCGGATGAGAGAGTGATACATGGAGCCGGAGTAGCGCAGCTGTGGCGTTCTTTCCCATTTTCCCTTACCTCTTTCCTCCATGCGGATGATGATCTAAGACTCTCAAGAAATTCGCTTCTCATGTCGCTTCCCACGTCTTCGATTTCCCCGGCAGTGCGTGCGGTCCCAGATTTCCACTGCTGTCTCGAGGACGGAGGCTGCAATCACCAGGAAATCCAAGTTGTTCCAAAAGGCATCCTTGCCACATAGGAGTCCCTGCACACAGCCGGCTGGTTTTCGTCGAGATATCGCCGGCTCGATGCTCGAGATTGCTCGAGTCTAGCAATGAATTACTCACTCTGAGTAATCGCCCAGGAACCTCTGAGACTCTGCACCAAACAACTCCGACCAGAGATTCACATGCACTTCCACCACCAGGACCTTCCCCACTCATCGACAGTTGATTGCAGTTGGCTTCTTGGGGAGCATTCTGTTGACATGGTTGATCAAATGGCTGTGGGTCAAACCCCTCAAAACTCCTAACCCTGGTTGAACATGAACCGGTTCCTCTGTGTCCTCTATGTACGGGATGTCAACCAGAATTTGGGGCAAACTGCGGTCATGACCAACGAAGTGTCACGTCCGACCGGCCTTCACTCCATAGGCAACGAACTTCAGAGAGATTTCCAAAATGAAGATGCACACGATGACGGTATTGATCTAGGTTGTGCCGAGCAAATGACTCTCATCGACACGAAAGTGCTACCAGCGCTGCCCAACTTGACTCATCAAGTGGAGAAAATTTGACTGCATGCATGATGTTTCAGGGGTCCAACTGTATACACTGTATACACCCACAGCGAAGAGTCATGAGACCATGCACGAATCATAATGTTTGAACAAAATCCACAATGCTACGGTGCTAGACTTGCGAGGAACGAGTGTTCGGTGAGGTTGAGAACGTGATTTCGCTGACATTTGCAAACCACCATACACCAATTATACACCACATGCTTGCATGCCCATTCCTCTCTCACTTCTCTTCCATGAAACCGCCATTTCACCAAGCATCTATGCCAAACCACCGTGGGACATCGAATTGGCCCAGTGTGGTGGCCACTTGGATCTCCACGCCCAAAAGCACCAAATTCACCAGGATCAGCAGCATGATGCCTCAGAAAAACGCCGGAGCCAAGTTCGGCGCGCAGAACGAACTGGTCCGGGCGAATGTCGCCACTGGAGTTGTGGTGAATGTTTAGAGAACAAAACACGACGCGGGTTTTGCTTTTGAAAGAGAAAACGTGTGTGAAGACGTGGGTGTGTAAATGAGCTAGCAGCTAGCACGAACGCGGAGTCTAGCTGCTAGCAACGGTCGCGGGATGGCTTCGGGCAGGGGCGGCCGGGGCTGCATGGCGTGTTCAGGTGGGTCCTGACAGTGGGGCCGACTCAGATTCAGTGTGTCAGGGCTGTCGTTTCGGTTGTTCAGAAGCCAGGTGTTCAACCATCCCGACTTAAGAGGACCATGCAACACTCCTCACTCCTCAACACCCAGTGGCGACGGGTTTCTTGTGGCTCCGAGGTACAATTGGTGAAGGCGTTAGCCGAAACCACCCGCAAGCAGAAATGTCTCCACCTTGAAATCCTGGGCGCTAGCATGCGCTAGCCGGTAGCCATTTCTTGCGGTTTGGGACATGGAGCTGACCGGTCGCCAGACCGGTCTGTTTGGCTAGGTCTGCCTACTACAAGGCATTTTTGGTAGATTGACCATGAGGGATCATCAGTCGCAGTCACATCCATTTGGGAGAATAGTGCTGCAGGACGTTGTGTCCGCTCATGTAAAAACCACCGAACCTCGACAAACGTAAAGCTACCCTCATTTAAAAACCACCGAACCTTGACAAACGTAAAGCTACCCTCTGATCAAACAATCCTGGAAGTGGGCAAGAGGCCTTTGAAAACAACAATCTCCAGGGTCTCCTCTTCCATGATCGTTGGATGGAGGACAACAGCTTAGGACTGTCCACAAACAGGACCCGCAACTTCTCCATACAAGGAGCATGACTGACGCACAAGAAGTTCCAAAGGGGTGAGCACCACTACCCTCCAATAACCAGCCCTTTGGAACTCCTGGTGCCATGTGTAAAAGAATTCATCTTTAAATTTTGATATATATATATAGTTATATATATAATGTTATATATATATATATGTATAGTTATATATAGATATACTCGGCGCTCCTGGCAGTGTAGTTACTTGTTCCTCACTTTGGGGATTGGTATTTCACCTCTGCAATTGCGGTTCTTTGAAGCTATTTTCATGCTTGCGCGTGCAGTTGTGGCAGTGTGCTTGTTTAGCATGTTTGATTTTGCATGTGATCATTTGGCATGTTCAAGTCCATTTGTGTTTATATAAGTGCCTTCACATTTTTGGAAATACACACTATCACTACCCTTTATGGAACCTACGCCTGCATGCAAGCATGCCACATTATCCAGAACCTTCTTCATAGTACAAGGCTATTCTTGGAAAGACTTTGACCGTATGAATGCGTGTATATGAGCACGGTGCCCGCTACTAAGGAACACCCCTGATCTTCATAAAAGGTTGCTCCTTTGTAACAAGTAAGGATCAACATTGTGGAAGGATCTACAATCATCAACCTCTCCAGGAAGGGACGAGCCACTCATTAAGCAGAGGGCAACTAATTAAAGAGCAATACATTATATACTATATGTATTGCATTGATGGCGGCCAATCAACCTGTTTGTTTGTGAAGAGCTACTGTTTAAGACACAGGGGTAACCAAAATTAAAGGCAATACGTTCTGACATATGTTCAATGATTGGGCCAATCAACCCTTTTTTTCTCTGGAAGGGCCATTGTCAAACCAAAAGGGTCAGCAAAATTAAAGAGCTATATATGTCATGGTGTGTGTTGCAATGATAACGGCCAATCAACTTTTTTTTCTGTGGTCTAGCTCCATCTATTGTATGTTCTTTGTACGCAATGCTTCTATAATGACATGACATTGAAGGACGTGACAAAGATGTCAATAGATAGATAAATATATAGAAAGAAATAGAAAATAGACACCATGATAAAGAGGGACCAAGTACTACTCAAACCAATAGACTTGAAAAGGCAGAAGGGTAAGCAAATTAAGAAAGGACATACTGTAATCAATCAATATTTATGCGCAACAAGAGACTATACTGTGCGCAGGACTTTTGATAAACCAATAGGTCCCCTCCATTAAAAGCAAATGCTTATTTCTCCCTCTCTCTCTCTATCTGTATATCTATAGCTATATGTTGGGTCTGTCCTATCAACTGCAACAGTCAGTAGACAATCAGCACTTATATTTTTGAACAAGGCTTTTACCAACCATCATCATCCACTGTTACTGGTAATAGGATAGACCCAAGATGTACAAAATTAACACATGTTTGATAACCTGGTGGTGCCCATGAAGCCCAAACTTCCCCAACTGTCTTCAGGAATCGCTAATAAGCCGAAGTGTCTCACTCACATCGATCTCCAGGGTATCGGCTCGATTCAAACCCTGACTGAAGCGCTTCATGCTGCCGATGGAGGTTTCAATCGCCGCCTGCATGCAGTGGAAAAGGGCAACTTTGCTCTGATGGTCTTATGGCACACCTAATCCTCGGCAAATGGTTGCAAGACATCATCTACTGGCAAACACTGATGCTGGAACCACCTTCGGCCTAAATCTTTACTCTACTTCTGAGATTGCCAACGAGTAGGGTTGCAAGAGTTTTTTGTCGAATTGGGCGTGTCACTGTGTGAACGCCACATGTCAGCCTAAACAGGCCCAACTATGGACACGTACATTCGATGATCGTCACGGACACTTCATAACGCCTAGCACTGTCTACGGCTGGAGCGTGTGGACATCATCTGCAGGATAAGGCAAATCCCCCGACCCCATCATCACTCACAACTCTTGTCCTCAAGATATCTCAAGACTCATTGCCTTGCAACATCTATGCGCCCACTCCTACAATATAGAGCTCCACTAGGGCGATCTTTGGGCAACTGGGAGCACCATCTCCCAAAACGGCCTGTCCACTGAAAGGCCCTCTCGACAAAAAAACTCGTCGTTCTAAATGTGTTACACAAAAATATTCAATCCAAGGTGGAGGACATGGACTCAACCATGCTGGGAGGGACAGACCACCCTCCCCTGATTGATTTGTAAAGTAGAGTACAATAGATGAAGGTGGTCACACCCACATTGGAGGACCGTGATTATGGAGGACCTACCTGCAACCATTCAAGTCACCATCCCACCATCCTGCACATACAGCTGGTGCTTGGCCAGGTCACACAGACTGAAGTGCGCAAGAACAAACACCCACGGCAACAAACGACCGAAGAATCATTGAGACATATTGAGACAAGTACATGAAAACAACTGGACGGTCGGCGCGACTCTTCACCAAGCATTCTACATTCTACACACGAAGTGACCCGCGAAAAAGGACCGGCGACAGTGACCCACGAAGGGCCTCGGCACTTTTCCTTGGGCCAAAGCGCATTTGAGTTTGACGCATCGAAAATCACTTGGCATTCCCATCATCAGAGATTATGTCGGGATCTCTTATCTTATTGCAGGTTCAGGTGCTCCTCGTGTGGGCTACAGAAAACATTCACTTCCGTTAACATCTGTCAAAATGACATTGTTTTTGCCAAGCTTCATGGTCTTTCGCATGTTGCTCTGCACAAAGGTGTCCTCGGATATGCTGCGGCTGTGACTGGTGGGCCGCGGAGTGCGAGCTCCAGGCCTAGCAGGGCGGCTCGCCGGCGAGCCAGGGTCCACTGAGCGGGCGGGCATCGGGCGTTTATCAGCTTCACTGGTCAAGTCGTTTCCGCACATATGGCATGGAGTCCATGGAGTATGGCATAGTTACATTCACATACATTCACCCCTGAAACCACCCAAATGCTGCATACTCCATACATCTGTCCGGGGATGTCAGGGATTCACTTGTTGTTCGACTCTCTGGCTAGGAGCCACCAAGTCTGGCTAGGCAAGGGGAGGCAAATTGAGTAACGACCACAAGTCCTCAAGTGATTCACAGTCGGGTCCTGGAGGAATCACGCATGGATACCGGTCTGATCTTGCAAAGGGACGAAGTCGGACGGTCCAGTGCCGAAGGAATCACCCATGGTCCTGGAGGATATTTTTTCCCCGCAGCTAGGGAAGTGAAGACATGGCGACGCATGGTTCTGAGGTGATGGTTCTGATTTGGTCCTTGAAGAGTAGCGTCCTTGCTCCGTTCGCAGCGATGCCCTTGGTGACTAATTACAGTAAATCTAATTAATAGCTTCGTGTTCCTAGTAGTAAGGCCAGGAGCTACGTTCGTAGCGTCCTTGCTCGTAGTAGTAATGGCCTCCAACCTAGTAGCTTCTAGTTACTAAGAAGCTTCAAAGACATACTAGTAGCGTCCGAGCGCTCCGTTCGGAGCGCCTGAACAACTTCCCCCTAGACCCTCAGCCTGGGTTCGTCACTGAAGCGTGCGGTTTTGCCTTTGCTGGCCGACGAGTCTGCATCTTGAACTTCGTCCTCCGTGACCTCAGCGACTCAGCACGGTAACGAACTCTATCGTGCAATGACTCAAATAGAACGAGGTATCATAGGATGTTCTGACCGAGGATTCTGCTTGACTTAGTGTCCAAGATTGTCTTGAAGATTTGGAATCTGGAATGTGATTGATCATGGACTGCCTGCTGGTTCCTGGTCATGTTTGGCAATGATCAAAGGATGTGCAAGGCCATCCAAAAAACACCAGAATGCAACATGTTCAAACCGTTCCTTTCCCAACGATCCAATCTGCCAAACATACAAAAATCTAAGGCAATGAAACTGAACCTTCAACAGTCGCTTTGAAGCTGCAGGACCCAATTCGTGACGCAAGTCCTCAATGTAGAATCTTGAATTTATTATCACCAATTTAAACATCTTCATGGGATGTAATCAAGATTCTACATGAATGGGGCCATTCTCTTCCGGATTCTGCCACCGAAGAAGAGCTGACCGGACCGTGAGCCAGTGCCACCGTGAGCCCAGGTGCATCGGAATTGGTCTTGGAGCCTTCCCGAGTGCCTCGCAACCGCACGGGTTTATGGGTACGTGTGGTTGGTTCGTGTGGCAGCCCCACAGAACAACACCGAAAGGAAAAGCCGAACAAAACGGAGCAAACCAGACTTCAACGAAACAAGTCCAAGAAATCAAACTACTTACGAAATCAACATTCCCTCAAACCTTCAACCGCATCCCTAACCTTGCCCCCTTGAAGTTTCAAGGGTGCAACATGTGACAACTATGTTGGGCGTCCGTGTTTGTTTCCAGCAGCACCAAAGGAAAACAACAACAACAATAACAAGGCAACAACAACAACAGCTGCTACTACTTCTACTTCTGATACCACTCCTACTCCTACTCCTGCTGCTGCTGCTACTGCTCCTGCTCCTACTGCTGCTCCGTGCGAAGCTAGAACTTTTTTGTTTGCAAGGACTGTCAACAAGGCAGCTTCTTCAAGGTGAAGAACGAGTGAGGTGACTCACTAGCTAACCTCTTCAGGGAAATTTCCTTGGCACCAGCCAGCTCAAATTCCCAGGGTTCTTCTTGCAAACACCTTGCTTTGCAGGTCTATCTTTATCGCCCTTGGATTTGAAAGTGACTCCCCAGCTCCGGTGCACAGCGCACGGGCGCATGGAAATAGCAACTCAGGCCCTGGCCCGAGACGGGGACTTGCAGCGCTCCGCTGACTCTATGGGTGCTTGGCTCCTGTAGAAAGAACTCAGCGCGGGGCAGTTGTGGAGGAACATGGATGAGCTGGGCCACTTCCTCAAGATTTGGGGGGGGTTATTCTACACCGGCGGAAGAAGAACTCGCGCAACACCTCCAATATAGGAGTACTGATTGTCTGATTGAAGTAGGGTGATTCTGTTAATGTAATGAATGGCAGTGGTGGCGGTGGCGGTGGTGCGCTTTAATTGCTGTTTCTGTGGGTATGATGAGTGCGGTCATTGCTGTTGCCGGTTTGCCGGGTTTAGTTTACCATCTGTACTGTTGTTGCATGCAAGCGAGGCCCAATTAATCAACAAGCCAGCACAGCTGTGTCCTCAATGCTCACATGCAATTGACCCTGTTTTGTAGCTTGTGTTTGTCTAATGTTTGTGCTACATAGTGACCACGTCCGACCAATCCGGCGGCCCCCTTCTCTCTCTCTCTCTCTCTCTTTCTCGGTCTCCTCCACACCAAACCTCTCTTCATGCACGGAAGGTCTTTTTGGAGGCCGAATGATCGCAGTCTCAGTCTCATCTTCAATATCTGCAGACATGTCCATAATCTCTGTCTCTAAGGTCGTAGTTGAGTAGGATTTCCTGCGATGGCCGCACGTCCGCGCGCGTGCAGACCCTCTCCAAAGCACCGTGAAAAATAGGACATCCAAAACTAGCAGTCTGGCAAGTTGCGGGAGTGAACTGCCAAGCCCTAGTCCTGACCAAATGAGAAATGTTGATAGTTAAATGCTTCCCCTTGCACACATCCCAAGAAGAAGAATTGCCATCTAACTTCCACGTCATCTGAGGGGACTTCACTATGTCACTATTGCACTCACTTCAAGTGAGCAAAGAAGAAAGGGAACACAAGTATATAGCAAAGCTAATATGCTTAGACCGGCCTCAACCACTTGAGTTTGACACCTTTTACTGTGAACCCCAAATTGCCAAGGACAGAAAAGCTATGAAAGGGAGACCAGATTGAAACCATACCAGTATCATCATCGGCCAGACTAGCAGGAGGCCTGATATGATTGATATGTGCATAGTGCACAATGATATATGCATATAAAAAATGTATATATATATATATTTTTTAATCTTTCGAAATCAATAAACAATTATCTATCTATAAATACCATATATTATATCAATATTTAAAGGTATCGGTATGCAGATATTATGTTGCTTTCCTACAAGCATGTACCTCTTGAAAGGACATGCCCATCAGGGACGTGTCATGATTGCAAACGGCACTGCAGTGCCGTTCACATGGGCCCCCCCGACAGGGGGTTCACAGCATGTCCGACTCGTCGCGATCCGTTGAATCCAAGTCTATTGGGCGCGAGCCTCGTGCCACGGCTTGGGATTTGCCACTTGGAACCCGGATGCAGCCGAGTCTCCGAAAGCCGGCCCTGGCCAATGTGGACACCGCCGTGGGTTGTCGCTTGGGCTGCGGGGCCTCAGGCGATGACATGGTGAAAAGGCTGATCCCAAGCGGATAAGTGGTGGAACGCGTGGTCAGTTAGGACAGAAAAAGGCTCAAATGTGTGTGTGTGTGTGTGAAGTACATACATTTCCATACATTTCCTCTTCAGGACTCTTTGGCTCACCTTGCCCAAGTGAGTGGTGGTTGATATAGGGGTTTGCTAAGTTTTGGGATGTGACATGATGTGACTGCAGAGTTCTGAGGGGGAGGCACAGCTGTCCAAATGAATGCTGGGAGCATGAATAATGAAACATCAACCCCTCGAATGTTGGAGCAACGATGAAAATAAACCAGTCAAATGAGAACGCACGGGTGTCATGTCTGCATCAGATTGGCTGGCGCTGTGTGATTGGGAGAATCATGCTGTCAAGATAAATGTCATGCATCCTAAACATCATCTTGTAGATGGCTCAAGTGATGAATAAATCATGTAGTCACCATGGACATGTGCACATAGTTAGCTGCTAGTTTGGGCATGACCGGCGAATGACCGGAGGGCTGTTCATCATCTCTCTGACTGCCAGGTTGATCCCGAAAAAATGATCTCCTCATCCCAGTGTGATGTCCATTGAAGAGAAGTATGGGCCCATGACTCTCCTTATGAAGTGAGCGCGGGGTGCAGCCGTGCCCCTATCAACTATTGTGCAGCTCTGTGGCAGCACACATTCCATGTACAAGTAGGAACCATAAGGAACCATATAGCATCATATCCATCCCTAAATTCCCAAAGCGCAAATAGCATCAAAAATATAAGTTTTTAAAACAACACACCTGGTCGAAATTCCTTTCATGTCCACTCTGCGGGCCCTGGACCACGCCTGCCGGAGGCTTTCGTGCCGTAGGCTTTCCATGATCTCTTCGAAATGCAAGGATTGCTTGACGAAGGACGCCTCGGTTCTACGGGTTCGCCGACCGTCGCGGCAGCGCCTTCGATCGCGGCAGCGCCTTCGATCGCAGCAGCGCCTCGATGAAATTTCGCAGGTCCCGCATCTCTTCGGCGAAGTCATCCCCCAGCGGCGGTGTCGAGGCTGGCGAGGCCAAGTCTGGCGGGGCCGGTGCGAATTCAGCCCATGCACAGGCTCCAGCCATCAGTTTGGTTACAAGTTAACAGTTAGAACTCAAAACATGCATGTGTATTACTGTATCTCTGAATGTCCGTGGGCGTTCTGGAATGGTCCTGAACCCGGATGTTCCTGGTGGTCAGGATGGGGATGTCAAATGCTTGAGAATTCTCACCGGAGTCGAAAGGAAACCTTATGACCATGCACCACAAAATCACAAGAACTAGAAGCCGACTGGCCTAAACCAGGTCATCAGGGAATCTCGGGGCGTTTCTCAACTCCCCGAGGACCCCCCCAGGACGACCCCGCGTCCTCCGTGGAGCAGCTGTGATGGCATCGCCGCCGCGGCCGCGATCGGCCGCGATCGGCCCGGGGGATACGCTCCGTGACGCGCGTGCGCGTGTTCTGATGCACCAAATGCTTGCGCTGCGGCGGGATGAAGGTTGGCAAGTTGGCATGGTTGAGGCGGACCCAACGGCTTCAGGGTGAAAACTCTGGCACTCCGAAATGCAACTGGTCATCATTCATCACAGGGTAGGAAACAGTATTATTGTCATTACTTGATTATTGCTTGTTTACTTGGTCTGGAAATGAACATCTTTGAAATGGTGGACCTGGAGCACATGGAAGAAACGTTTGAGGCTTTCTATTGTCAAAGGAGGCAACTGCTGGAATAAGTGGTTAACCCCAAATTCTCAAGCTACCCTCCAATATCCTCCAACAGAATGTAGTTGCCCCAAGTGTCCCAAATGATGATCAAATGAGGGATGCATGTTGATGCCACTAATATAAATATACACTAATATAGAGGCCATCTAACCTTTGAATTGTGGCTTACGAACACCTTCTAGGGCACTGTACTGGATCCAAGTGCCTTCGTGGTTGAACCACCCCAACGGACACCTCAATTCTACCAGGTCTTGGTCCTTGGTTGGGTGAATTTGTTGCATCACAGGTCTTGCTCCGCCTCTCAGAGGTCATGGACCTCTAAAAAGTACAAACAAAGAGTAGCGATGGCCTCCAACCTAATAGCGTCCTTGCTGCGTTCGTAGCGTCCTTGTTCCTAGTAGTAATGGCCTCCAACCTAATAGCGATGGCCTCCACTTAGTAGCTTCTAGGTCATGGACCTACAAGAGTACAAAAGGATCGCTTTAGGATCTTGTCCTTCGTGGTTGGATGAAGACTTCCCCTTCGCCAAAAGAATCTATTGTTGACCATTCATCCCGTGTATGTATGTATGTATGTCTGTCTATGTATGTATGTATGTCTGTCTATGTATGTATGTATGTATGTCTATGTATGTATGTATGTCTATGTATGTATGTATGTCTATGTATGTATGTATGTCTATGTATGTATGTATCTATGTATGTATGTATGTATGTCTATGTATGTATGTCTATGTATGTATGTATCTATGTATGTATGTATGTATGTATGTATGTTTATGTATGTTTATGTATGTTTATGTATGTATGTATGTATGTATGTATGTATGTATGCATGTATGTATGTAGGTAGGGTACGGTACGGTACGGTACGGTAGGGTACTATGTCGGGTGTAGGTGAGCCCACCATCATCCCCCGTCTCAATCATGGCTCGCTTCGCTACCAGGCCGAGAGGCTCTGTGAGTTGCAGGAGACAACCACCCCCATGGATCCCCTAATATATATTCCATGTCCTACATTCGACCCCTTTTCAACCACCCCAGCTTATGTAGGTAAAAATGAGCCAGTCCCCCGATTCGTGGTTTCGGGATTGATGCAACCTCCACGTGGGTCACCCGGTCTCTCGGTGGGTTGGAACCGCCCACGCCTCCACTTGGCACTTGGGGCATGCGTTGGGCCGTGGTGCTTCGGCCATGGCTGCGTGAGCACATCTGTGACCTGGCGCTCCATCCCGGAGCCTCCCAAGGTGCGTCTGGGAAGGAAAGATCGGTGAAGGTGCTTCATGTTGTGTGGATGCCGTGGATGCGTCTAGTCTTGACCGTCCTTTCCTCGCTTTGGGGGGGCACGAAAAGCCCAAGAAAGTGGGGCTCATCTCCTTGCCCAACGAAACTGGGTTTGACAGTGTCCAAGTCAAATTTGCTGTAAATGAACCCAATGCAATGCGACTATATAATAACTTTAAAGCTAATACCACTGATAACATCTGATAACCACCATCAACCTTAACCAAATTGCCGGGGAAACCCATGTCGCTCGTTCGTTGGAATCTTTGGCCCCAAGATCCGGACCACATGGTTCGCCGTCTCCGATCACCGTGGCGTCCCGGCAGAAATTGGCTCCACAGCAAACGGCCAAGACTGCCTCCAGGGCGGCGGAGGGGTCTGATGTGTTCCACGGAGTCGGGTCGGTGTGTCAACACGACACGACCTGTCTGGGACTGCCATAGACTAGATGCCGATCAATTGACCCCCAAAACCACCCAAGTGGGGCGGCATACATGGCAGTCCCACGGAGTGTCTGGGACATGAATGTAGGCATACATGCCAGTCAAAAAGATCGCCCGGAATCTCCCAGCCAGTCCCAATGCGATCGATCGCAGCCTTCAGGTTCCAAAACTGAAAATAGCAACATCAATAGGTCTGATCAGTCCATGCTGTGGTCTGCAGAGTCCATGCTGCTACTTATGCTACTGATGCTCTTGATTGGGCTAGCCCCTCTTCAGGCCCCTGAGGGCACCTGTGCAGCACCCTGCCTGATCCAAGTAGTCTTCACAAAGCGGGCATTTCAAAGCTGCCTGGAATGAAAGACGCGGGTTTGCCAGACAAAAGTCGAATGGCTTGCTATGAGTCTGTGATGGTCTGTGCTTCTTCCTCGGCAACCCAGTAAAAATGCTATGAACACCACTCAGGGCAATCTTAGCAATCATGAGCAATCAAGTTTGCACTTGTTGACATCATGGCCAACAAAACAAATCTCAAACGCATTGCTTCTGCAGCGGTCGCAGCATTTCATCGAATTGTATTTTTTATGGGTGGTGGTTGTGGAATCATGTAAGGATCACATGCTCAAGAACTTCTGATGAAATCGCTGATGAAATGATTTGCTTTGTGCTCCACACATGCACCCGTGCAGCACCACAGACAAAGACCTCCGAATTCTGGAAAGCTTCTCAGGCGGGTAGCTGCTTCGCTGCTCAGGCCCTGGTCACCCTGTCCCCCCCGGCGCACCGGAACTGGGCTCGGCACATCCTGCCTGAGGTGTCAAACATGAAGTGCTGGGAAGTCTTGACCAATTCAATAAACAGTCCGGGAGAGAGATGCTGAACGCAGCACCATCGTGCGTGGAGTCTAGGTGGAGTGTGATGATAACGGATGCATGAATCAGCTCCAGCAGCTCTCAATTCCAGCATCCAGGAACCTGTAAACAGGCCTCAACAACACCAAAGCCACAGTCTGGAGCCCTTCTAACGTTGCCCTTTCCAGCATCATGTCTACCCCGCCAACCTTTAGGAGAGACGCTTGGGTCATGAATCATGCACCAACCTCACCAAACAACTACGGTGCAGTGGGTTCAGGGTAGATGCACAACCCAAGTCCACTTTTGGATATAGGAACCCATCGTAACCAATCGAAATTGATTGATGCATCCAGCCGGTTCGTCGATGAAACCTTTCCCATCCTTGGTATTTTGTATTCATGATCTTTTGGTCTCTTGTTTCATCGGGAGCCGGACCCCGGTGGCTGGGCGGGGCTCCCCACCACTGCGACTGCTCGATCTGCGGACCACTCTGTGACTCCTCCGTGGGAGCTGAGTCGCACATTCTCGTTGACTTCAAGCAGTGAGGTGTTTGGTCGCGGAGTTCTTTTTCACGGCAAATAAACAAAGAACTTATTGTGGATTTCAAGGGGGGGCCAATCCCTCTAAGACCAACGAATCCCCCAAAAGCAGCCTAGGGAAAAACAAGGTCGGCCCAAGCAAGCAATGCGAGCAAAGCAAATGCTGTTTTCTCCGCAAGATGCGAAGGGTCATCCGGATGCCTGTGAGTGAAAAACCAGCGGATGCGAAAACCTGCACAACGTCAAGCCGATCAAGCGAAACAGCTGCATCACACTTATTGGTCACGCCTTGCCATGCACTTGCTAGCACTCTTACTAGTATACTAGAGTTACTAGAGCAAAGCGGCACGGGATGACCATGTTGGTTTTCTGAACGGCTTGCATTGCAGCCGCTTTACATCACACGGCCGCAACGCCTCGAAGCTGCAGAGTGTCGAGCAGGCAAGTGCTTTTGTGAAGCAGCAGGGGGGCAGCACAACATCCAGCATCTCATGAAAAAGAACATATCAAGGGAAATGCACCAAGATCGCAAAAAACGGGTAGTAGGTCAAGTTCCAACACCCTGATGAAAGGAACATCAACGAATCCTCTTCGAGGTAAAACACAACTGCCCCTTTCCTCTCCACACCCAGTCCTCTGCTTCTGGCTTCTTGACCTTTTGATGTGGTCGCACTTGACCCGGGCAACATAGGCACTGTGACCCATGTCCCTGTGCCTTTTGTGGGACACAATATCACACGAAAGCGCGTCCCTAGAGAAGGACGTCCCCATCCCCAGCTTGTCTAGAAAGTTAACGGATTCACTCCATGACCGACATGTCCGAAGATTGCACCAAGACGTGTGCATCCTGTGCCGCTGTCACCCATCGCTTGGTGTAACAAGGCCCTGTGATACATAAGCCCAATCTATGACCCCCCCTCCTTTTCAGGAAGTCACCGTCAAGTGGTGTAGTAATGGTGTAGCAGCTCTAGTTACATCACACATCACATTTTCTGCGTGGAGCATCGTACCAAAACACCCTCCATCCCCGCCGCCCCAATCCCGCCTGGCCGCCCGGAGGCAGCTCCCAGGCGGTTTCATCGGTCTCCTCATTGTGGTAGTAGATGTCCCCTGCGACGGAGGCCACGAAACCAGGCGACCTTCGATGTTCAGGCGGCCTGGTATGCCCTGGTCAGACCGTCGGTGGACACGTTGAAACGGCCGTTTCCCAGTCGCTGAAATGTAGCCCACTCACCAGCCCACCCTTCCTCCATGAAGCACCCTGAAGCACATGGCCATAGGGTTTTGGTATGGACCCCAATGAGTCAAGCAACACGAGCAACCCAGATCCGATCTGAGTTCGGCAGCGAACTAGAAGTTCGCCCACCGCGTGCGACACCCCGCGGTTCATAAGAGGCGATAGGTTCGCTCAAACAGGCTGAAACTGCCCAACAGCTCGAACACCTGCAACTTCAAGACCCATGGCCAACCAATTGAAGATATTGGGCCTAAAGTGGAAGGTCATAAACTATCATTCCCCACGTTCATGAATGTTACAGGAACAAGTTGGACCGCAAAGCCTACGCACACCCAAATGATTCATGCACCTTCACCACCTCCAGCCACGCCGCCTTCTTCTGTTTGCACTTCTGTCCAATATGTCC